CCCTTTTTTGGCAATAAAAAAACTGTTGGGATTTACTGCATACGCAGTGAAACATTAGTGTGGAAAAGGTTTGGATACATCGATTTTTTAAGGTGACCTGATTTTTAGCTTTAAAATGAATCATGCAACATAACTTACTAATGTTTGCCATATCAGTTTACTGGCATTATTAAGGACCCCATGTTGTTTTTCGCCCTGTTGTTTCTACATTTCTACACAAGCTTCTTGTTTGCCACCTAATTTGCGCTGTTTATGTGCTACGTTAGACATTATTAAAAGGAGCTTCTGCATCTGTGAGCTTTACAGTAATTTACACATTGTTAGTAGATCACTCACAAAGCTTTCTAATACCATATGTGCTTGTGTAGGCTTGCCCTTTCGCTCTAATTTGCCATTCATTAAATCTTGTTATTTAAAAAAAAAAAAAAAAAAAAGAAAAGTCTGTTTTTTTTTTTATCTGCTACCACTACTTTGTTATTAAATTGTGATCTTGTTGCATATGGTATGGTGAACAGTGGTGGAAAGTACCATTACGTGCCTAAAATGTAGTGCAAATAGAGTAAAAGTATCTGTTTGGAAAAGTCAACGTTTTAAAGCTGCCAAAAATTTCTGTAATACTGTTCATAAGGTATGTGTAAGATTTTTTTATTTACTTTTTATGTTTTTGTTTTTGAGGACAACAGTATCTGCAGTAAGGATGCTCCGATATGGATTTTTTTTGGCCGATATCGATAACCGATAACTCTTCAGACTTGGAGGCCGATGGCCGATATATAGTTGAAGTCAGAATTATTAGCCCCCCTGTTTATTTTTTTCCCCGTTTTCTGTTTAACAGAGAGCAGATTTTTTTTTTCAACACATTTCTAATCATAATAGTTTTAATAACCTATCTCTAATGGCATTTTTATTTTATATTTACCATGGTGACAGTAAATAATTTTTGACTAGATCTTTTTCAAGGCACTTCTATACAGCTTAAAGTGACATTTAAAGGCTTAACTAGCTTAACTAGGTTACAAAGCACCAAATATGTTTAACTCAACTATTGGATTAAATATATAACTCAACATTTTTTTAGAGTGTAGCTTAAATAAATTTTAAAGCGTAAAAACAACATTACGCATGCATATTAATAAAGCTGTTTTGTGTTAGCTAAATCAGTTGACAATATTAACTCAACATTAAACAAACATGTTTAACTCAACCATTGGTTAAATAAATAACTCAACATTTTTTAGAGTGTAGCTTATATAAACTTTATAATGCGAAAACAACATTAAGCAGGCATATTAATAAAGCTGTTTGGTGTCAGTTAAATCAGTTGACTGTTTACTTTTAACCCAACTGGTTGAGTTATTAAATAAATAACCAAAAAAAGGTAAAAATAGCCCAACAAAGCACCAAATATTTATCTCAACTGGTTGAGTTATTAATAAATTACCTAATAAAGGTAAAAATAGCCCAACAAAGCACCAAATATTTATCTTAACTGGTTGAGTTATTAATAAATTACCTAATAAAGGTAAAAATAGCCCAACAAAGCACCAAATATTTATCTCAACTGGTTGAGTTATTAATAAATTACCTAATAAAGGTTTAAAATAACCCAACAAAGCACCAAATATGTATCTCAACTGGTTGAGTTATTAATAAATAACCTAAAAAAGGTAAAAAAAAAAAAAAAAATGACCCAACAAAGCACTAGAAATGTTTAACTCAACCATTGGGTTAAATAAATAAAGTTTTTTTAGAGTGCATGCTACTCTTCAATATTTCGCATTTTCACACATTTTTTGGCCGTGCTTAATGCAATACCAAAATCACTTAATCTACTGTTAATCCACTGTTTGCGCAAAAGAACACAATCATGTCTCTGTTTGGAAGTTTCTTGAATTAAAGCAGCTCAACCACATACAAATTACTGTCATTTCATAACCAAATTAGGACATCCCTCAGGGTCAACTACGACAACTGCGACCCTGCAGACGCCACCCTAGTGTGGCAGAGATGACCAAACAAGAGACGGCCAAGAGAAGTAGTCCAGTGTACAAGTTGCTTTGAATAACTTCCAGCATTGTTCTTTTGCCTGTAAAAGAGCCCTCTGTTCTTGCTACAGCAACAAAATGGTGTGCTGGCCCTGGCCGCCAGACCGCTCTAATAGTGAACAGTAGAAAGGAGGAGGCTGCCAGAGCCATTTGAACACCAGCGACAAACGGTCCATACCAGCCATGATGTTTCCTCTTATTCTTCTACTACTAGAGGCAAAATGAGAATGAATGCCAGTTCAGCGTGAGAATGAATGTGATCTATATCCGGTTGAGTATTGTGAGATGTCTGGAATGTGTTTTGATGTGTAGTAGGGCTGAATGACTTAAAAAAAAAAAAACTATATATTAGGACTGAGCGGTGTCACTCTATATACACTCTATATAGTTGAAGTCAAAATTATTAGTCTTTTATTATTTTTTCTTCCTAATATTTTTAAAATGATGTTTAACAGATAAAAATATTTTTTTCACAGTATGTCTGTTAATATTTTTTCTTCTGGAGAAAGTCTTATTTGATTTATTTCAGCTAGAATAAAAGCATTTAGAAAGTTATTTTAAACAATTTTAAGGTCCATTTTATTAACCCCCTTATGCAATATATATATATATTAATATATATATATATATATGATTGTCTACAGCAGGGGTTTCCAAATTTTTTTTGTCCTGTGACCCTCAAAATAACAGTTCCAGTAACTCGCGACTCCCACGGAGGTGGTTATAAAACAAATCAATTATTATAAACACCTAATTATTAAAACTATTATGTTTAGAAATGTGCCAAAAAAAACTCCTTTTTATTAAACAGAAATTTTGGAAAAATACAGGGGGCCATGTAAAATACTTTGTTGTTTATATTTTGTACTTTTGAAGAAAAAAAACTATGTTTAAGTTTCATTTTTCCTGCTACTTGCTATGTTTTATTTACTATATTTTATTTATAAATATAAATTCATTCATTTACTTTTCAGCTTTTCATTTATTTGGATTTTTCATTTGATTACATTAAATAACAGAGTCAGAGATATCACTTTAAAAATGCACACATCTAACATAATAAATTAAAACGTATCGAGTCATATGTTTTCAATGTAACGGCGTGCTGATACACCGGCTTATACGAGTAGCCTGTTTTATTCCGCTTTAAAAGACGGAGTTTCATGAACTGGATGAGGCTGTCCGTATGTCAGTGAATGTCAAATATAAATGTCCCTTACGTCAAAACTCTCTGCATTATAAGGAAAAGAAAACACACTGTGCAGTTGGAAGTGTAGCATGCATTCATAACGGGTTTTTTGTGCAGTGACGCTACTTTGAATGAGTCTGATTTACTATACATTAAACGGCTAATGCGTTTCACGAAGGTAAGAGTCTGTATGCCGTTCTTTTATCCCACATGGATGCTATGAGGATGAACAAGAGACCAAGACCTTATGTATAGTTAGAATGAATAAATGACAGCATATAAAATTGTCTGAGAGGCATCCCCTTTTTGCCCAGTAGGCCTACCTTTTGTTTTATTTGCTACTTTAAGCTATTTTTAGAGATAAATATAATGTAAAACTATGCATTATTTATATTAATTTATATCACCTATACGTCTGATAAGCTTTTTATATGAATGGACAATGCACAGATATTGATGTTTCGTAATGTTTTACACTACATTATTTGAATTTAACAATCTTAGTTTGCAATGTTTACATTGCACTACTTACATCTAAATCCTAAATCTCAGAAATGACAACAGATTGTTAAGATTTAAGTAATGTCAGTTTTATTGTTATTGAATAATGTGCTTGACAGATTTCATTCATTCGTTTTCCTTCTGCCTTTCCCTGGTTTATCACAGTGGAATAAACCGCCACTTACTTGACAGATTTATGTATTTTTGGTGGTGTGTGTAATGTGTTTTATGTTTGGTAAATTAATTTCTAATTGAATCTTTAGTGATTTTCTACTAATTACACTGTCTCCTCCCAATAGGTAGATTTAGATGTTTTTGCATAAAAAGCACTAGTGGGTTTTGACACAAAAGAAAATCTACCTTGTTTAAAACCAAAGAATAGTCTAAAATGACATTTTTGAAAAAAGTTATTTTATTTACTAGCAAGTAAGCTTTACATTACATATAAAATTAAACGTCTGAACCTAATTTAAGCAGCCTGATAAAAAACGCTCATTTACAGGAAAAGAGGTCAGATGGATTTAGACGGTTTTGCATCTAAACTCTTCATATATATATTATATATGCATATATATAACTCTTCATATATATAATATTTATTTTATATATATATATATATATATATATATATATATATATATATATATATATATATATATATATAATTTTTTTTTTTTAAATGTAAAGTTTTTAGATGTTACCCCCCCAAAACAACATTGATTAAAAAGAAAAATATCATTTCCACATGTTATACTAAAAGCTGGATTTTTGGGAAACATTTAAATTGCTGGAAGTATTTTACAAAAAAGGTTTCCCATAAATATGCTGCAAATCTTTTTTCACCAATCAAATGTTTGTGGAGCATTTCCAAAAATGAAACTGAACTGTAATGTGGACTGTAGGTTTATCAGACTTGCATTTGTCTCTATGCAGTGCTGTTTATATGACAACATGTAAATCAAGAGGCGTACTTGTTTTATAAATGAATAACTGCATTCCATTAGCATTGTTTTACCAAAAAAAAAATATGGCTGGTTGTAGAATAACAACATACTGTATAATTGACTGAATAGGCTTTGCTTTATTTCATCTTTATAAAATGATTACTGAACAAAACTGAACTTGTAGTTTACATACAACTGGGTTCACAATCTCGTAACCTGGAAACCTGTTATTCTACCATCTAAAACACTTTTGAATGCAAATGTACTTTGTGTAGTTTCAACCCTGCAGTTGATCATTTTATGTCCTCCTCTCTCTCAAAGGTCGCCTCGGATTCACCCATCCAGGAGGAGACAGCCCCTTGCCCATAAATGGTTTGTACATGTATTTTATTGGTTTTAGTGTGCTAGTGGCTGAACAGGCCCAACAGGCTGTTGAAATAATCAGCAAGACGAACTGTGTGTTTTTGTGCCTAGGACTAGCACTAAAATAGATTTAGTTCAGAGCACTTTGTCTCACTGGTTTGTTATGTCCTTATTAGTACATGTCAAGACATGCCCTTTTAGCTGAAACATTCTATTTCAATGTCAAATATTTATAATTTCCCCATTTTCAAGTTAGTAGTAGTTAGTGCAAGGGTTTTGTATATGACAAATTTACTCTAGACTAATTATTATTAGAAATATTTTTGATTGATTGATTGACTTCAGCTCATGGAAATGTATATTGGTAAAAGACAATATTTTGGTGTCCAAATCAAATCAATGTGCATATATATAGATATACATATACAGTTGAAGTCAGAATTATTAGCCACCTTTTGATTTTTTTTTTCTTTTTTTTAAAAAAAATATTTCCCAAATCATTTTTAACAGAGCTGACTTTTTTTTTTACTGTGACTTTTTCACAGTATGTCTGATAATATCTTTTCTTCTGGAGAAAGTCTTATTTGTTTTATTTCGGCTAGAATAAAAGCAGTCTAGTTCACCTTATTAAGCTAGTTAAGCCTTTAAATGTCACTTTAAGCTGTATAGTAGTGTCTTGAAAAATATCTAGTCAAATATTATTTTCTGTCATCATGGCAAAGATTAGATAAATCAATTATTAGAAATGAATTATTAAAACTATTATGTTAAGAAATGTGTTGAAAAAATCTGTTTAACAGAAATTGGGGGAAAAAATAAACAGGGGGCTAATAATTCTGACTTCAACTGTATATAATTTTATTTATATCATATATGTAATTTTATTTGTATTATTTCATGGTGTCCGCGGTGTCTTAAAATGTCCAAAATCTCAAAATCTAAAATTTAGGGCTTAAGAAGTCTTAAATGAAACCCTTACTGAATATTGTGTTGTATGTCTTATATATTCTTTTTAAACGGGTTTTAATTTTCCTTTATTCTTACTACCCAATCTGGCCAACACCCATACAATCGTCAACAATCCATCTCAATAAAACTTTAAAGTGCTCCATGTATTTACTGCTGAGGACACCGACCTTTACAGATTGTTATGCATAAATTTAGTTTAGTTTATTATAGCTTTTAAAACTTTCAAAACATTTTTATTTATGTTGTAGAGTTTGCTTGTTTTTACACAATAGTTAAATTATTTTGCTAAGAATTTTTTAAAACATATATAAAATTTTTTTATTAGTAAATTATTGGCGTCACGGTGGCGCAGAGGGTAGCACGTTTGCCTCACAGCAAGAAGGTTGCTGGTTTGAGCCTGGGCTGGGTCAGTTGGCATTTTTGTGTGGAGTTAGCATGTTCTCTCCATGTTGGTGGGGTTTTCCTCCGGGTGCTCTGGTTTCCCCCACAGTCCAAAGACATGCACTATGGGTTAATTGGGTAAACTGAAATTGGCCATAGTATGGGTATGGGTGTGTCCCAGTAATGAGTTGCAGCTGGAAGGGCGTCCGCAGAGTAAAACATATGCTGGATAAGTTGGCAGTTCATTCTGCTGTGGCGACCCTAGATAAATAAAGGGACTGAGCCGAAAAGAAAATATTAAATTATTTTTAAATGTATTAAATTGTGTGTTTTTTTTAATTTTTTTATTTTTTATAGACAAATAAAAATCTTTTCCATCTGGACCATTTGACAAATTCCTTAGCGTTTGGCCCTTTATGAGTCAAAAATTTCATTTATAATGGTCATAAAGTCTTTTTTTTATTTAACTTTGTGAAGCCTGAAGAAACCCTCTATTTGTATTTATTTATTTTATTATTCATTTATTTTATTTATTTATTTTTTCTTATGTACACAGAGGATCTTCAAAAATCTTCAATACTGTATATATACAAAATGTAGAGGTCATATTTAATTTATATAGATTTATATTTACATTTTTTTGTAAACATTTGGCAAAACAAGGCAATTGTGGCGATGTAAATCTACAATTTTTTTTTTTTTTTGTTATTTAAATGTACTGTTAAATGATTCTTGCTATTAAGAATAATTCTGTTATGCAGTTTTAAAATTGTAACTGGAAAATAAAGAAAAAAAAATTCAAATTGTATGTTTCTGATGTGTAGTCATTTAGTGAATAACACATTAATTCAAACTAAGATGTGTTTGTTTGGGTTGCTTAAATACATCATGTCTTGGAAGATTGGATGAATATATTTTAGTAACAAATAAATCAATCTACAAGTTTAGTTACACTGCTTTCTTTGAGGCTTGCTAACAGCCTTTAAGCTCCAAGTCAACCAACCAATGTACCTGATGTGTAAACTGTACATTTTGGGGATATTCATTCATTTTCTTTTCGGCTTAGTCCCTTTCCTAGTCTGGGGTCGGCACAGCAGTATGAACCGCCAACTAATCCAGCACGTTTTTATGCAGCGGATGCCCTTCCAGCCGCAACACGTCTTTGGGAAACATCCACACACACTCATTCACACACATAAACTACAGCCAATTTAGCCAACCCAATTCACATGTACCGCATGTCTTTGGACTGTGGGGGAAACCAGAGCACCCGGAGGAAACCCACGTGAGCGAAGGGAGAACATTCAAACTCCACACAGAAATGCCAACTCACCCAGCCGAGGCTTTAACCAGCGACCTTCTTGCTGTGAGGCGACAGCACTACCTACTGCGCCACTGCGTCGCCTTTTTTGGGGGGGATATTGCTCATTCAAATTAAGGAAAAAAATATCCAAAGTGACGCATTCTTTTTAAATACCCCAAAATGTGAGTTTTCTGTACAAAAAGCTCAGTTGCTCTGTTTATTTATATGGTTTAGTTCATTTTGATTGGAAATGTGTTACTTCACTTGTGAACATCTTATTTTACATGCAGCAAGGAATTATGGGAGGCGACGAGGTAAAGAAAACTTTTAACAAATTAAAAATGAGAAAAATTATCATAATTCAAAAAATCTTGATAATGATTAGAGATGAAATGATCCAGCATCTGCATGACATGTTCTGGGGCATTGTTAATTGTTTGCATGCACATGCGAAGCCTTCATTTTCATTCGTCTATCAGTTGTGTGCCTCTTTCTTGCTGTATTTTAGATTTCATTTATTTATTTATTTTTTTTTGGTGAAGAGTAAATGTGATTGGGCCTTTTCAGCGGTCTGTGCAACCACACGCACACACATATATGCAGCACATATTCAGGCCACAGTTGTGTGACTAACTCCCTTGCATAAAGTTGTGTAAAGCAGCTCAGGTCTGTGTTCTGTCACGTCAGGGAGAAATGTGCTGGAGTGGCTTTAGCCAGAGTGCTAATGCTGCATCCGGTGTCAACACTGAAGCTTTAAGCCAGAGCTACATATCCACACGCTGGACATTAGCACTTACGTTAAATATATTCTTCTCTCATATAACCTAGTCTAATATATATATATATATATATATATATATATATATATATATATATATATATATATATATATATATAATCTGGCAGTGTGGTAAACAAAATTAAATTTTGGATTATTTCACCTACTGCACTGGCAGATTATATGGCATGTTAATTCATTTGACTATTTCTGAAAACAAAACAAACATTTGTACTTGTCTAAAAAATGCGTATTTATTAAAATTGCTTTGATATTTGAAATGAAAACAAGACAAAAACTCTAATGGTGTGTTCACAGCAGATGCGGATGAAGCTTCAAGGGCGAGTGATTTAGACGAATAGACATCCTGTGGCACTATTTGTGCGTATGAGGTGACGCGAATGAATCACGGTGCCGAATCTAAGCTGCTTTTCAGTTTTTCTAAATTACAGCACAGCTAATCTCTCAATAAAAACCATGTTAGCCATTTAGTAGAGCTGCATGATTCTGGCTAAAATGAGAATCGCGATTTTTTTTGCTTAAAATAAAGATCACGATTTTCTCACGATTCCGTAGATGTAAAATAAAGGTATGGTAAAAACAAACATATGGCACAACATCAATAATAATATTATGTGGCCTACTGGTTTTTATAAATAATTCTATTCTACTTATAATAATTATGATGTTAAATTATTATGTTTGAGGAGATATATACTTGCAATCTGTCAGATAAAATCAGACATTTGCCATTATCAGATTATATTCAACAACAATGTATAGGCTAGAGTAGTTATACTGACATTGTAAACATTTATTTTCATGCACAACAGTGTGTTCGCTATGAAAGAAAAAAAACATCTAATGCTTGACATAATCATAACACTAAAATGCGATATGATCATTTAAATAAAGTGCACAGTTTTGGTTTCATTTTGACTGCTAAGTGCTTGTTCATACTTTGCGCGCGGCTCCCAAACGATCACTCTGTGCCACAACCAGAATAGTATTTACAACTGTATTACCTGTTACTCGCAACATATGCAGGTTCTGTACACTATAGTAGACGCACGCGAGTCTATCATTAAGTAGAGCGCGTGCGCGCCCTCTCTGTGATAACAGCTCACGGCCAGAAGCTCACGTCACGTGTGATTTCCCGGCCGCGAAAACATCATTATATGAAGACAAAAACGACATTGTTAGGTGAATTATACCTTATAGAAACTGTATGTGACTCATTCAACATCATTTGGAGGTGTCAGTGTCACTGAGCAACGTATGTGAAACAATAAACAGACTCGTGCAGCCTCTCCTGAACTTGAAAATATGATTGGCAGAATCGTAGAAATGCTGGGTGAAGATCGTCTAGGGGGTCGAATCGCCATCTTTTAACGATTAATTGTGCAGCTCTACCATTTAGCATTGAAACTAGAGTCACCAGGCAGACAGAAGTCCTGCCCATGATGCGAATCCACTTCTATTGTAAAGTGAATTTAATGCACGAATGTGCCGCTGGCTAATTTCTTTAAAGGGGGAGGGGCTACTACATTTCCCATTCGTTATTCAGTTGAAGATTACATGAAACGTCTAATAAAAGAAGGCATATTTCAAAGGACCAAAAAAGTAGTTTCTTATGCCTGAATGCATCTAAAATCCGTATACAATCACAGGCCTCAAAAACACAAATGATAAACACATGATTCAACATTGCATGACTCTCTTGAACAATCTCATTGCAATATCGATGCTGAAACGATATATTGTGCAGCCTGACGTTTAACACAACTCTCTGTGTAGAATATGATAATAACCTGCTTCGTCTTGGGACCAAAACTGTGGGCTATAATTTGTTTGATTTACAGGACCACAGTAGCCATAATTCCGAAATCCCCAGCAATCATAATTGCACAACCGAGATGATGCAATCTTAGTGCTTTCTTGGGCTCCGAATAATCCATCAGTGTAATTCATTTTACTCTGTGGTGCAGGGATATAGTATAAACAACGAGACGCAGATCATAATTTCCACCTTCTCCCTGTACTTCAGGACACTCTTCTCTGTTCCCGATGGAAGATGGCTTCCCGGATGAAGAGCGGGCCGATCAGAGCCTGCCAGGCCTCAGTTCCCCTCACTGCTTCCCACACCAGAATGGAGAGCGGGTGGAGCGCTACTCTCGCAAAGTCTTTGTGGGTGGCCTTCCTCCTGACATCGATGAAGGTATTAAGGTCGTTTAGAGTACTTCTACCTAGGCATGTCACGATGAGGAATTGTTGCTGTGCGATATATTGTTACAGAAATGGTTGCAATAAAAGATATTTTTGTAATTTTTCAATCATTTTATGCCATTGATTATTTAGGGATTTGCCACTTTATTAGGTACACCTAACTAGCACCGGGTTGGAGCCCCTTTTGCCTTCAGAACTGCCTTAATCCTTTGTGGCATAGATTCAACAAGGTACTGGAAATATTCCTCATTCCAATTTTGGTCCATATTGACATGATAGCATCACGCTATCGTCGGCTGCACATCCCTGATGCGAATCTCCCGTTCCACCACATCCCAAAGGTGCTCTATTGGATTGAGGTCTGGTGACTGTGGAGGCCATTTTAGTACAGTGAACTCATTGTCATGTTCAAGAAACCAGTCTGAGATGGTTTACGCTTTGACATGGCACATTATCTTGCTGGAAGTAGATGGGTACACTGTGGTCGTAAAGGGATGGACATTGCCAGCAACAATACTCAGGTAGGCTGTGGCGTTGACACAATGCTCAATTGATACTAATGGGCCCAAAGTGTGCCAAGAAAATATCCCCCACACCATTACACCACCACCAGCATGAACTGTTGATACAAGGCAGGATGGGTCCATGCTTTCATGTTGTTGACGCCAAATTCTCACCCTACCATCTGAATGTCACAGCAGAAATTGAGACTCATCAGACTAGGCAACGTTTTTTTAATTTTCTGTTGTCCAGTTTTGGTGAGCCTGTGTGAATTGTAGCCTCAGTTTACTGTTCTTAGCAGACAGGAGTGGCACCCGGTGTGGTCTCCTGCTGCTGTAGCTCTTCCCCCTCAAGGTTTGTCATGTTGCACGTTCATTTGCTTGACCTTTACTACCTGTCTGGCCATTCTCCTCTGAACTCTGTCACCATTTGTGGTCAAAAAGCTGCCGCTCACTGGATATTTTCTCTTTTTGGGACTATTCTCTCTAACCCTGGAGCTGGTTGTGCGTGAAAATCTGAGTAAATCAGCAGTTTCTGAAATACTCAGAACAGCCTGTCTGGCACCAACAACCATACCCCGGTTAAAGTCACTTAAATCACCTTTTTTCATTCTGATTCTTGGTTTGAACTGCAGCAGATCGTCTTGATCATGTCTACATGCCTAAATGCATTTAGTTGCTGCCATGTGATTGGCTGATTAGAAGTTATTAGTAACAAGTAGTTCGACAGGTGTACCTAATAAAGTGGCTAGTAAGTGTATATACACTATCAAATGTCCTATAAGGTGAATGACCTAATGAACTAGTATTATAAATGTTGACACCCGTGAGGTATAATGTAAATGTCATTGTAAAATGGATTTAACATTGTTTCTTGTAAATGTATATTGCAATGCCAAAAAATATTAAGGTCATCTCCAAGTATTGCACAACGTATTGACTATTGTGAGAGGCCTAACTCTACTCTGCTGTCTTGTAATTCCATGCAAATGTCAAACGTGCCAACCTTGAAGAAAAATTCAATTTTCACCAAAACAGCGAAACCATTTCTACGTTTTTTTTGTGTGTGTAGGCTTTTTCTGTTTCACCTCTGTCACATTTTATTCAGGGAGTTTCTACAAAGTATGTTGTATACTGCAACTTGCATGCTTTTTTGGTCACATCTACGCATGTTTATTTTCCTCATTTAAAATATAATACATGTTTATAGATTGATCGCTTAAATCTGTGGTTGGCAGTTTTGGAAAATATAAACAGACTTTTTAAAAACAATGTTAACATCAGTGGTCTCAAACTTAATTCCTGGAGGGCCGCAGGTCTGCATAGTTTAGCTCCAACCACCTTCAGCTCACACCTGCTTAATTGTCTCTAGTTGTTTTGAAAACCTTGATTATTTGGATCAGCTGTGTTTGATTAGGGTTGGAGCAGAGCTGTGGCCATCCAGGAATCGAGTTTGAGGCCCTATGGTTAACGTACTTTCTCTGTGAATTTTTTATTTTGATTTGCTCTGCTTATGAAAACAAAAACAGCTTTCTAGGTTTGTTGTTGGCTTTGGACCTGTTTCCACACTAGCTCCGTGCTCTAACCTGCAACATGATCTTTCCTAGATGAGATAACTGCTAGTTTTCGCCGCTTTGGACACCTGTTTGTGGATTGGCCTCACAAAGCAGAGAGCAAGTCATACTTCCCCCCGAAAGGTGAGCAAAGAGTTTGGCACTGGCAGGTTGTCCGCAGGATCTTAAAAATGTCTACTGTTTAAATTGACTACTCTTTCATTATGTTTGGGGCTGTTTTTGCCCCATTGACTTCCATTATAAATACATTTTTTGACTGCAGAGCCATGACACCAGAAACAAGACAAAAACTAAAGTAGAAAAATTAAGGGCATATTTTTTTTAGCAGTTGGTGGATGATTTCTGAAAGATCGTTTAACACTGAAGACTAGAGTAATCAAGCTTAACATTCAGCTCTGTTGTCACAGAAATAAACCGTATTAATATATATACAAGATTTGTATATAGCAGGGGTCACCAACCTTTATGAAACTGAGAGCTACTTCTTGTGTACCAATTAATGCGGAGGGCTACCAGTTTGATAAACACTTCTCAAATAACAAATTTGCTCAATTTACTTTTAATAATACTTTGTTTTTAGTAATAATGAATGATATTCATTCATGTGAAGACACTGATCATGTTAATGATTCTCACAAAAGTTATCAACAATGATTTCACAGGGTAGGAAATACCCTGTATTTAATGTATCAATGTGCAACACTTTATTTTTATATGTCTCTGCAAATATTTACATTTTTAAATGATTACTTCTATATTAGATGAAGCTTACTGGTAAGTGGCGCTATGGTGAGCTATTTTTAGAACAGGCCTGCGGGCAACACATGTGATCCTTGCGGGCTACCTGGTGCTACCATGTTGGTGACCCCTGGTATAGAGTTTGGCACTGGTATGGTGTCCGCAAGGTCTTAAAAACATCTTAACTCTTGTGTACTGTTCAAATCAACTACCCTTTCATTATGTTTGTGGCTGTTTTTGCTCTGTTGACTTCCATTATAACCACATTTTTTGATTGCAAAGCCATCACGTCTAATAACAAGACAAAGAAAACACCAAAACTAAAACAAGACACCAAATATTCCTGCATTTTTGATTGTTGGAAAATTTGTAATTTTTAATGTTAATTATCAGTTGGCAGCATTAACCCTTTAAATAGGCCTGTGCAAAAAGGTTTCTGGCTTTTATATGGTGTTCTTTGGAGTGAAACAGCATATTATAGGGTGTGTATGTAAATATACTTACTATGATTACTATGTTCTGTTTTCTTGAAAATATCATAAGTGTGCAAACACACACTGTACTTCATATAAAAGCTAAGATTTTTTTTGTGCTGTAACTGATGATCCACAGTAAAAATCACAAATTCCCCAACAGGGAAAACCACCAACAATCAAGTATGCATGATTATTTGGTGTCAAGGCTTTGCCTTCGAAAAATGTCAATAAAATAGAGGTAAATTAGGCAAAAACAGCCACAAACAGAACAAAAGGGTAGTACATATCCCCAGAGTGTATTGAACTTCAAATTGAATTGTTCTGAATTTCAAAATTCCAAAGCATTTTCCCATAATATGTGTCAAAACAGGATTTGTCACCAAAAATCATTCCACTTGCTGAAACACAGAAACAGTTGTGGCCAAATTAAGACTCAAACTCCCTCTAGCGTGGATGAAAACATCCCCAACAGCAGGTTAAATAAAAATAAATAAGGCCTTCATTTCACTTGCATATTGTGTTGTTGATCTTTAACTATTTAAAAAATGTCTAAAGTTTTTAAAGCTACCCAGTAGGGCCAATCCCCAACAACACATTTAAACACAACTTAAAACACAATTTCTATTCATTAACTCTGTTTACCAATTTGGTTTAATTATCTTTCAAACAATGACCAATGCAACCTCAGCTCAGTTGGCGTTTCTGTGTAGAGTTTGCATGTTCTCCCTGCTTTCGCGTTGGTTTTCCCGGGTGCTCCGGTTTCCCCCACAGTCCAAAGACATGCGGTACAGGTGAATTTGGTAGGCTAAATTGTCCGTAGTGTATGAGTGTGTGTGTGTGGATGTTTCCCAGAGATGGGTTGCGGCTGGAAGGGCATCCGCTGCGTAAAAACTTGCTGGATAAGTTGGCGGTTCATTCTGCTGTGGCGACCGCGGATTAATAAAGGGACTAAGCCGACAAGAAAATGAATGAATGAACAATGACCAATGCTGGTTAACAGTTGTGTTTACAGATACCTGGTTTGGACACTGACCTGGGGTCCATACATTTATTTAGTTTTAAAACTTGTCCTTTTTTATTGTAATAAGTAATGTTGAGAAAAAGTGTATGTATACATTAAAGTTTGCTTGTTTTGACACATTTAAAATAGGGTGGCTAAGAAATAATTATTAGAATTCCTTTGGCAGGGCAAGTAACAGTGATTCACATTAGATTTCACATTCAGAAAAAAACTCCTTAGCCTTTAGTCCCATATAGGTCTGCAATTTAATTCAGAAAGTCTTACATTTGACTTGGTAAAACCCTGACGTTAGATGAGTGTATAAAAGCGAGCTTGAGAGAAACATTCATGTTCATAATAAGCAGATAATGATATATATTTGTGGCTTACTTCATTGCTATGACAGCACTTGTTTACTGAATCGAAGGGATCATTTTGTCATCATTGACCTCAAGTTTTTAACCCACAAGACTTCCGTCGGTCTGTGGAACACAAGTGTGTATTTTTGAGGAAACCAGAGTTATTTGTGTCTCCGTTGAAAGTCCATTTCTGTAAATAATAAAGTGAAAAATGTCTCTTGCAGACTCCAAATAAAATGAACATCCCTACACCCTAATCCCTTCAAAAAGTCCTTGATGTTTTTCGAATGATGCAGTGAATGATCATCGAAAGTTTTCTGTGTTAAATGACTAAAGTGGAACTTTAAGAAGTAATTCAGATGATTACTCTTGTTTTGAGTCATTTTGTCTAAGTCATTTTGAATTTGCTCATGGACTAAATAATCTGACTTTCATCAGAAACATAATATTTTAGGTTTCATTAATGCTGAAAATGAATTAAAATACTCTGGGTTTGAAATAACACTTAACCCTAACCCAACCCCTGTAGTTTCATTAGGCAATTTGATAGCAACCGTCTTTTTAAAGAAGCGCAACTGATTTAAAAAAAATAAAGAGTGGGATGTAACTGATGTGTTTTATGTCGTAGAGTAAAAGGTGAAAGTATTTTGATTTTGTGGTAGCCACAAACCTTTTTTAATCGATTTTTAAACCAAAAATCCCATTTAAAAAAAACCCAATTGACTTTGGGACGAGGGAACTGGAACTGCTAAAATGCTAACTCGCTTCCGGGTTTGTGCATACAAATTAATGTCATAGTGTCTCCCCTCTTTGCTATCAGCTTTTTGTTTTAATTTTGATCTCTAGTTATTCTGCTTTTCCTGCTGTTTACTAACTCATAAATACATTTTTATTTCCAAAGGCTACGCTTTCCTCTTGTTTCAAGATGAGAGCTCCGTTCAAGCCCTTATCGATGCCTGTATTGAAGAGGACGGAAAACTCTACTTGTGTGTTTCCAGCCCCACCATCAAAGACAAACCTGTAAGGATGAATTGCACTACTGCAACTCAGTTCAAACAAGTTTATTTTACATTGCTTTTATTTTTGTATGACGTTAAATCTAGTCTGTATTCTGTCGAAACGTTGTTGCAACTAGGGATCTGTTGTGTTGAATTAGTATTTAGTTACTTGGCTTATTGTTACAGGTCCAAATTCGCCCATGGAATCTTAACGATAGTGACTTTGTGATGGATGGATCACAGCCGCTGGACCCCAGGAAGACCATATTTGTGGGTGGAGTGCCACGTCCACTGCGTGCAGGTATGGATGCTTTGTTTATGCCTTTCCATTTGCATAAACACACTGTGATGGAGTAACCAGGGTTTATATTTGCACCAGGAAATATTCACAATTGAGTTCAGGAGCCATTGGATAGTTCCCCTATAGTCTAATTTACCTTTGTAAGCACTCAGGGAAAACCCTTGTCCATTTTCTTGTTGTTCTTTTCATCAATCATTACTGTTTATCTCTTGCTGTGGCTTTTGCAAATGTTTAACATATAAAAAAGTATTAACAAGAGTTGATGACTCGCACACATTACTTCATTCGATGCACAAATTATCAGTCAAACCTCATTGTTTGGCCATTTTGAACATTGCATGTAGTTAGGATTGTGTAAATTAGAAACTTCTTTACTCAAAAATACTATACATATATGTGCGTATATAGAGTTTCACCAAGTTGGACATTTTCCTGAATAATCGATTATGTCTATTCTGGAACAATATTCCAATCAGCCAATCAAATTAAAGGGATAAGTTTACAGTTTATTTTTGGCTTACAGTTAGGGTTATGTGCTTCTATAGCATCTCTATTCAACTATTAATCCCCCCTGAGCATTAGGGTTAGGTTTTAACAGAGTTAAGGTAATGCAGGGCTCGAAATTAACCTTTTTGCTTGGTAGCACCAGTGCTCCTAACTTTAAAAATTTTGGCGCATCAGCCAAAATTTAGTCGCACTTATAAGCACGTTACTACAATTTTTATTCAAACATATTTATTGCATTTTAAACCAACAGTAATCAAACTAACAAGCAAACAAAAAAAAAAAAAAAAATGTATATATATAATGTATAAAAGTGTGTGTGTGTGTGTGTGTGTGTATATATATATATATAATATATATATATCCAAAAGATACACGGAGCGCTCACCGGCCCTGCACGCATTGCTTGACATGAATGGATCTGTTAACGATATAACTCTATGCATACGTCATGTTAATAGCAATAACGGTCTTTTTATGAGTAACTATGTTAGTTTACTTAGTGCAAGCCCATTTGCGATGGTGTACGTGGTGTTAAATTTTACATACAGCTGCCCCTTGCACGGCGGACAGCATCTGGTGATTATATGAAAGATTAAACTGAAGCTCGCGTGCTAGATGTGGCAAACAGTTACCTGAAAATTCTATCCCACAGACTTTTCATAGCGGACTTGAAGCCAGTGAAAGTCTTTTATCCACTCTTCGAAAAGTGTAGATAGTGGAGTAACATTTAGCACATGATCACTAGTAAGATGTGTCATTATTTATAACTTTAGATGCCATGGTTTCTAAAACAAAGTCTCTCAGTGTCATCTTCATTCTTATCTTCAGTGCTTTACCAAAATCATGCTTCTTTTAGTTTGGTTGGAATAAAAGTTTTTAATAAGCAAGCCCACTTATGGCGCGTGATCAGAGATTGGAAAAAGCCACGTACTGCAGCACGCAGGCACGCAATGACAAATAGATTGACTGGATCAAAAAGGGTAATCTAGTTGCGCAATAACAAAAAATAATATAGATTGCACCTTAAAACACATTAAAACGAAAGTAACAAGCCCAATTTAAAAACATAAGAAGTAGAAAGTACAGATATTTGTGTAAAAGTGTCAGGAGTAAATGGTAAAAGTCATCAGAAAAATAAATAGTGGAGTAAACTACTGATACCAGAAAAATCTACTTAAGTACAGTAACAAAGTATTTGTATTTTACTTCCCATCTCTATATGGGATTCATTGGAAATGAATATGCAGATAAAGCAGCTGATGAAACCCTTCAGCTGGAGATAACAGCATGTCATATACCCTTGTCTGATGTTAACCTGCCTTAATTCTGTATATTAATGAGAAATTAATGAGAATGGGATGTATGTAGAAACAACAAATTGTATGAAGTGAATCCATTTGTAAATGAAAGAAATAATCAGCATTTTGAAAGTAGAAATGATCAGGTGGTACATACAAGATGGAGAATCGTCCACTAAAGACTTGCACACGTATATTTATTGAAAAACGGAAGAAAAACCTTCTTGTGTAAGAATATTTTACATTTAATGTTTAATATTGAATGTATTTTTAATATTTTGACGATAAAACATTTTAATAGAAAGTGTATTTTTAAATTATATAAGAGAATATTTTTATTCAGGAAATATTTTAAGGGAAATTTTAGAAAAAGTGTCTTCTGAAGAAATATTTATCATTAATCAACCTAAAACATTGTATATGACTCTATAGTGTTGTTGTTATTTGTATGTTTGTTTGTTTGGTCACACTTTACAATAAGGTTCATTAGTTAATGCATTTACTAACAAGAACTACATATTAACAATGCTTGTACAGCATTTATTAACCATAGTTCAACATTTTCTATTGCTTTATTAGCATCTAAGTTCTTGCTTGTTATCATTAGTTAATGCACCGTGAGTTAATATGAACTAACAATGAACAACTGCATTTTCATTAACCAACATGAACAAATATGTATAGTTCATTGTTTGTTCATGTTAGTAAATGCATTAACTCACATTAACTAAAACAACCTTACTGTAAAGTCTTACCGTTTGTTTTTTGCACAATTAATGTTTATTAAAAAACTGATATGATTGTATGTTATATATTGTATTGTGAATATAGCCAGTGCTGCTGATATGGCATTGAAGCATAAATGAATAAGGAAAGATGTACACAATGATTGGTTATCTCAGAGCATTAACCCCCGTGTTGTGTTTCTGGCAGTGGAGCTGGCGATGATCATGGACAGGCTGTATGGCGGTGTGTGCTACGCAGGCATCGACACAGACCCAGAGCTGAAGTACCCCAAGGGCGCAGGGCGGGTCGCCTTCTCTAATCAGCAGAGCTACATTGCTGCTATCAGTGCTCGTTTTGTACAACTGCAGCATGGAGAAATCGATAAACGGGTCAGTGGCAACCTCCACCATAAATACACACGTACACTCCCCTTCCATGAAATGACATTGATCTTGCGAGCATCACAAACACTTAAGCTCAGTTTTTGGACTATGCTTTAACCCTGTTTGTGACTAGTTTGTTTTTTTGTCTGATTAACAGAAGTGTTTTGCATACAGTATTCAACATTTATAGTTATTCAAAACCTTTCATCAAAGTTGTCCTAAAACTAGTAAACAACCCCCATTTTTGCCTTAGGATAATTTTAAATACTGTAGTTATAGTCTAAAAGTAATGCAGAACTTTTTATTGGTAAAAAAAATGAAGGAAATGTCTTATAGAACCATAGTGTGGCTTTACTTTATGGTTTTATTTTCATCACTATTTATTTTCCTCCATTTAACTTTTAAAATGTGTCAGTTTTGCAATGTAGTCCGTGTTTTAGTATAATAGAGATACTATTGTATTGTTTTATTAATATTTATTAGTTTGTTTTATTTTTTCTGCTTTTTAAATATTGTCATTTTGTTAATTTTTGACATTTTTCAAGATTTTATTAATAATAAAGTCATTATTTTATTTAAAAATAATAATAAGTTAAAAGTAGTTCATGAGCATTGCTGTGATTATTTATCTTAAGTGTTAATATTTGGGAAATAAAACCTCAGATTAACAACAACATAGCCTTGTAGCATTAGCAAAAATAAGTCAGGCACTGCTAATCAAATGTCTAAACTGAAGTTTCAGCGATTGTTGGTGACTGTCAATGCCAGTCCGACTGCTAAAGTTAGCTAAAATTGGGTCATGCAACAAGACAATGATTTAAAATACACCAGGAAATCTGCAAAAAGAACAAAAACAACAAAAATCAAGCTGTTGCAATAGTCCAGTCAAAGTCCAGAGCTCATCCTGACTGAAATGCTGTGCAAAAATCTCCTCCAGAATCAGAGCTCAACACTAAGAATAACTTTTAGTAGTCAAGTTGGCCCTGCCAACATTATCTCTGACCCTACCTAAAAAATTATTAAAACTAGATATTTTTGTAGCCACATATGTTTTCATTGCCAAATGTTGTTATATACATACACCTTTTATCCCGCGTTTGTTTCCGTTCATGTGTTATTTAATAGAAACATGACTAGCATAATTTTCATGTCAGACAATTTTTACCTTATTGACTCATTGCTTAAGCTGGAATTATACTCGTGCCTGGCACCGCATCGCACACCTCCGCTGACTGCGCGCAAAACGGCCGAGGCTTTTATACTCACCGCGTTCGCCGTTGTGATATTCTTTAAAACGATAGGGGGCGGTCAAAAGAAACCCACCGTAAAGTCAGGCAGATAAACAAAGAAGTAGAAAGTTTCCGGAACTACGTCATATCATAATGTCGTTCAATATTTTTAAAACTATTGATTTTGTATTGTTTTTATACATTATTTTAATGATTATAAGTATTTTTTTATAACAATTCAAGATTTTCTTTTTTTATCAAATCACTTGCTTTTGTTCATATCTCGGCCAGTTATACTATTTAAAGTTTATTATAATATAAATCACAAGAGAACATGAGTTACTTGACAAATATATTTTTATTATTGCAAGAATAGAAGCAAAAAAAGAAAAGATTTTTTTAGAAAAAGATTCTTTTTCAGATTTAGCCCCCTCCACAAATATATAAATCAGTGTTACCGGTGGAAAAACATTCTGTATTTGTAATTAATGACAACAGAACATGAGTTACTCTACAAATGTATGTTTTATTATCACAAAAAAAAGCACACTTACTAAAAAATATAGATGTTTATTTTTTTTTTTTTAGATTTAGCCCGCTCCACAATTCACACATTATTGTCTGGCTAGTTTCTGTCCTCTTCTTATGCTAAAAAGGCAGTGATGGTCCAACATTACAGATCATTATCACCAATAAAGCCCAGAGAAACAGGGCATCAGCATATTGTAAACCGATAGGTTTAAATATTCCTTCCCAGTTATTAAAGAAATACTTCTGTGACTTCATTAGTTTTGTAACTATCAAACTGTTTTAAATTCAAAATTAAACAAAATACATCAGTGTAAAACCTATAAATGGTGGAAAAACATATTCTGTGATTGTGTACCTGGTCTCCACTTTTGGCATGGCCTCTTTTGGTTTTAATAAATTTGTTCTACAGGTTTTTCCAAACCTTTTAACAAAAACTTTCTCTTTTCCCACGGCTGTTGCTATTACTAGCCAATAATTATTGATCATTAGGTTATCTCTCTGATTAAGGGTTATTAGATGTGTACAGTCGTACTGTTTCAGACAAAATCTCTTCAAAGTGTATCATATTCCACTCAAATCAGTTGCGGCGCCGCGCCACTGTTCGCTCGAGTCTCAAAAAACGCCCGCACACCGCCAGCCGAAATCATCCGGCGCGCACCCGAAGTGAACCTCCGCAAACTCTTCGATGAAGTCACATTCGCCACGTGCACTCAAGCGAACAAGCGGACGCGTCGAGTATAAACCAGACTTTAGACTTTAGACTTAGCACTCTGGTATTTGACTAAATCTATTTAATAATGCAAAAGCTCCAAGCATTTCATAGGAAGGACCCGCATGTAACCGTATTCTGATCCCTCTGTGTCCAGGTGGAAGTGAAGCCATACGTCCTGGATGACCAGCTGTGTGATGAATGTCAGGGGACTCGCTGCGGAGGCAAGTTTGCTCCTTTCTTCTGCGCTAACGTGACCTGTCTCCAGTATTACTGTGAATATTGCTGGGCGGCGATCCACTCGCGCGCCGGCCGGGAGTTCCACAAGCCCCTGGTGAAGGAAGGCGGCGACAGACCTCGTCACATCTCCTTCCGCTGGAACTAAAGCCGGCGGGACGGGAGGAGAAGAGCGGGAACGAGCAGGAGACGGGAGGAGCGTAGCCTAGGAGGAGTCGCAAAATCATCATCTAAATAAATGCACTTTTCTGTTGCTGGTTCCTTTTTAGTTTAATTTAAGAAGAAGAAAAAAAAGACAAACGACAAAAAAATGGATTTTAATTTGTCATTTAATATATATGAAAAAAAAGAAGATTCAGGAAGAAAAAGAAAATGTCTAATCCATCTCTCTATTTTTTTATAACTCCATTCTATTTAATTTTTAAGTGCACAGAGATGTGAATATATTGAGTATTAGTATAATTTGTCAGTAGGTATCTGCATGACTTTAGAATTGGCTTTGTTTTCGTTTAACCTTGCGATTTGGGAAGTATTACGTCCTATTTTAATTTAACGGAAAAGGCGAAGGAGCAAACGCGAATAGAGAGAAAAGGTGCGGGAAGAGTGCACTTATTTCTTTACAGATGTGTGGTTTAAGATCTCAGTTGTTAACCAAAGCTTGGGATTTAACGAAAACAGATGAAGCGAATTCTCTCGACGCTCTGTTTTTATTTCGTGCGTGTGTATACTTTAAGACCATGCTAATCTTTAATGTTGACAACAACTGATTCCACAACAGCTGTCTGGATTTGATCTCCATGCAAGAAAACTAATACCTCAAGCTTAGCTGCTAGTTTAAGTCGAATATATATTTAAAAACGACAAAAAAAAAAATCAAGCTGGTCTAACCCGTTCCCCTCAGGACGGCAGAAAAAAAAGGAAGTGACATCAGCAAACAGCACATTGAGAAAACCTGCTCTGTCGCTTCCTGATTAGAATTGGAGATTCAGCATCCTCGTGGGGAATGTACGTTGGTAAAGTTGCAGTAGTCTGCCTGCAAAGCTGGTTCGAACGCGAGGAACTTGATTTCGTTTCTGGTCCTGCTTAGCGTCCGCGTTCTTTCAGGCTGTTAGCGGCAAGCCTTCGTTTTTTAATTTTGTTTTGTTTTAGCAATATGTCTCGCCTTTCCCCAGAAGCCCCCCTCAAAAAGAGGTGTACGTACGAGCAGAACAGCTACTTGAAAGGGAGGAAGACAATGAAGCTCCTGTACTGCAGCCGCAGTGTTGAAGTGTGAAGCATAACTGAAGGTAGTCCATGCATCTCTCCTCCCCCCAACACTCACTTTCAGACATTAGGGAACCAAAGATGGCTGTTTTGGTAGCTAGTAAAACCATGGACGTTTGCAGATTTAATTTTGCCCCCCCTTCGCCCAACCCCCAGTCCATCCCATTCGATATATAAAGACCAGACGGGCTCCAGCAAACCAAAGATTGGCCTTGAATCCATCAGTCCTAGTAACACTAGTGAAAACCCTCAAACGAAGAACACGCGCATAATTCGTCAGGTAACGGCCAATTCTCGGAAAACCGATTAGCGCTAACGTCAGGGAGTCAGTGATCAGTTGATACACTAGTGAGAAACTGCGTCACTCGAGCTGGTGGTGGTCGAACGTTTTCAAAGCGAAACACTTTTTGAAGAATTTGCTGTTAACGCGAAACGAAAAACGAAAAAAAAAAAAGATTATTTTATACATGGCCTGCTGATTTTTTGGTACAGTGTTTTCTAGCTAAATTATTTTGTCATGCACATATAAACATTTATTATGCACTACTTTTCTAAATACGTTTTTTTTTTCGACAGTCATTTTAGGCACATTTTTCACGAAACGGAAAAAAAAAACTCCTTTTTGCAATACCTCAATTTTTCACATTGTGAAAGGTAGCTTTTGTACTTTTGTTACTGAGAGATCTGCATATATGGAAACTTTCATTTGAAGAGAAAAGTGAATTTAATATATCTTATTTTCAATTATGCTTTTTATACATTTCAGTGCTGAGGAATCTTTACAGCTAAAGCAGCACGCACTTGTGTTGACGCGACAAATCTGCAGAGGAGAGAGAGCGCTCTTGTACACTAGATTTCAATTGGGAAAAAAATGATCTGACAGCAGCATGGTAAGAACAACGTTGTCGTTCATGTTAAGCAAAAGCTCGTCTTTTTGGTTTCCTCTCTCCATAGCTGGAACTTAAACTATAATATAAGGAGAATGCTAAATCCGGTCAGTTCACGAGAATGGATGTTTGATGTTTAGATATTTTAACATTTGAAAATAAACATATATACATATATATATATTCTTGAACTGCCAACTAGTTCCTATTGTAACCCTTAGCATGCATGATGAGAAGAGAAAATAAGAAAAAAAAAAACGTACATGAATTAGCTCTTGAAATTAATCGTTGTGGTTGTGCACCAGATGTTTCTAAAGCTTTGATTTGAGGCCACCCCCACTACCTTGTTATTATTCTCTATGCCTTTCCCCGTAATCCAGTATCGATAGGATGCACAGAGGAAAAATACAGATATATATATATATAGATATACATAAGAAAACAACTATTTGCAGTGCAGGACGAACGCATCTTCTTTAGTACGCTGTGTCGAAAAGACTTGAGAACTTCATCCCCACTGTCTGTTTGAAGTAAATCCAAACCCGTTTGGAGGAAGGGGAACTTAAGACTTGAATGTGGTAAATATGTTGCAAGTTAACGTCGAGTTGTTATGTGCAATACTTTTTTTGAACTTTTTTTCCAGATAAAAAAAAGAAAAAACAAGACTCTTTGCAATGTAATTCTTTAATGCCATTTTTAATTGCCGACATTTAAAGAAGATGTTAATATGTTTTTCACAGTCATTTTCTACTGTTATTGTAATCCTTTTCATGCTGGTGTTTGTAAAAAAGAAACGGATAAAAAAAAACCCCGAAATCAACCTATTTGTACTAATATAAATGATCGAAGTTATTTTTAAAACATTAAAGGTTTTGTGCTCATTTTGCTTATTTTGTTTCTTTGGAGCTACTGTGATTGATCGCATTGTAATTATTAGGTCAACGATGTATCTAGCTGTTTATCGGTCTATTTTTAATTGGAATGTATAATTAATTTTTATAATTTTGATCAGATTTTTGTTATATTTTTGAGGTGAAGCTTTTAATATGTTAAAGTGTCTAGTTTTTACTAATTGCTATATTGTGCTCCACAATATATGGTTCACATTTTCTGAAGGAAAATAAATATTTAAATATCTGTCTGTTAACGATGTTACTTAATGGCGAAAATTTCAATAGTTTTTAACTGTGTATGGGAAGGTTGTCGTATTTATTAATAGCATTTTTTTACTTAAGATATCACCTTAATTTTTATTGTCATTTCACTTTATAAGTTCCTATTTTTGTATTTTGCTTTCTAATTAAGTTATGTTATACGAAATGTTCATATTCTAGGAGTTGGTCTGTAAGTGCTAGTGAAACGAAAAGAAAAATCTAATGTTATTTAATTGTTTGCAGCCAACTATTTATAACAATATGCATAATTTTTAAATATTTGTAATGTGAAATGTTGAATGAATAAAACTTAACTGTGACAAGACATTCAATTCTCTCTTGGTTTTATTGCGTTGTGTTTTTTACGAACTGTCATCACAGTTACAATTTTGCATTTCAGCTGTTTTGTATGGAATTGTAATTTTGATTTTGTGTACAAATGTACAAAGTAGCCTGAAGCAAGAACTGCATTTATTTTCACCACAGAAAAATTTATTTTTACCAGTAACCTAAACCATTGAAGGTATCGTTCACCCAAAAGCCTAATGACCTCATTGTTTACCCTTTCCCTTGTGTGGTTTTAAACCTTTATTTATCCGTTAAACACAAAGGAGGATATTTCAGGGGGGAGAAATGCTGGTAGCTGGCACCTATTGACATTCTTGTTATTTTTTTCCCTACAATGTAAGTTGATTAGTGCCAACAACCAGCATTTTTTAAAATATAATTTTTTGTAAAGAAAGAAACTCATTAAAACCACATGATCATTTTGGCTTATCTATCCCATTTGTGATTTAAGCTGAAAACTACATTACCAATGATTAGGGCCAGACAGAAACTGTAGACGTTTTTGCTATTTCTGCACAGAATTTTGGTAAAAATCTGCAGATTTATGAGGAATGATTTATGAGCAGGGCCAGACGGAATCTGCGGACGTTTTTTGCTATTTCTGCGGAGAATTTTGGTAAAAATCTGCGGATTTCTGCGGAATTTTTTTGGGAGTATCCAGCGGAGTATCATAACTTACACTTTAATATATTAAATAAAAAGTAATAAATTACTGAAAAAAAACTTCATAAATTCAGATTTACACATTTACTCAAGTAAATAAACAGAATTTATAATGGGCTAGAAATCTGCGGAATTCTGCGGAAAATCTGCGGTGGAAAATTCCGTGTGGGCCTATTTATGAGGAATGATTTAACTTTAAAACTTAATATATGAAATAAAAAATAATACCTTTTTAACTTTTATGTAATGTTTACAGTGCAAATCTAATTAGATCCACTTAACTAGTAAACAAAGCATATCTCTTATATAATATCTCTACTAAAAGACTGAAAATATTATCTCACACACTGAATTGTACAAATGAATTATTTGAATTTAAAATTTATTTTAAAATGGAATAAATATAAATTTACACACACAAGTAAATAAAATGAAGAGCTAAGAATCTGCAGATTCCTGTGCGCACAGATTCCTTGTGGGCCTACCCATGATGCTGAATTCCACCAATCACCGTGCCCCATATTGACCTTATTCTCAAATGCGGAAGTGCGCCTGTTTTCGCGATTGTCTTAGAACTTCCGTTTCAGTCGCCTATGGGAGAAATGACAAGGAATAATAAACGGCAAAAAAGGGTCAAACTACTTGCTCTACAAACAAATGTTTGCATGACTATATAGACCAAGTAGAATAATACAACAAGGAAATATCAGTTTGCAACATCAAACAACGAAACGAGCAGTTTTTAATGTCTAAAAATGAATGGAAGTGAATGAGACCGGAAGTCTCGTGCCAAAAAGATTCAAATGGCAGCGCCCGCTCGTCGGCGGAGAATAAGGTCAATAGTAAAGTGCCAGAAGAGATCTTTACCTCTACCCTCTCCATATGGAGGACTGCAAATGATGTAATAGAGTCTCCCTGCGTTCTAAACTTTTCGTAAAAACAACTTTAAAACCTAAAACACACACACACACAGCAAAATTAGTGAAGTAATGGTTAGCAGAAAAAAACATTAACGTTTTGCAGTGGCCCAGCCAGAGTCCTGACTTAAATGCAATTGAGAATCGGTGGAGGGGCTAAAACAGGGGTCACCGATCTTGTTCCTGGAGGGCCGGTGTCCTGCAGATTTTAGCTCCAACCCTAATCAAACACACCTGAATGAGCTAATCACTGTTTCACTGAATGAGCTAAGCACTGGTGTGTTGAGGCAAGTTGGAGCTAAACTCTGCAGGGACACCGGCCCTCCAGGAACAAGATTGGTGACCCCTGGGCTAAAAGATCAGGGTGATGGCAAGCAGACCCTCTAAACTGAAAAAGTTGGAGCTCATTGCTAAAGATGAATGCCAGTGAAAAGGCTGGTCAGCAATTATAGGAAGCATTTGTTTACTGTAACAGCCAATAAAGGATTTTCTATCGATTACTGAGAAAGATATGAGCAATTCTGGACTTTTTTTTGTTAAAATGTAAATAAAGTTGAGAAATATTTTTATTTTTCCCACAATGATGCATCTTGTACATCATCTTTATATATTTTGGGAGAAGCCTGTGTCATTTCTGGTAAAACAAAATGCTTGTTGAATAAACATTATTTTAAGACAGACTTTACCAGGCGTTTGAATATTATCAGGCTCGACTGTGTACGGACATAGTTATAAATCTGTAGCCTAATTTTCCTTTTTCAATTACTTTGCTCTCAGTGGCGCCATCTGTTGTTTCTTAATGGTGTTGTTTTCTTGTTCTGAATGCATTTCTTTGACTTAGTAATTTAATTATAAATCAATTGTACAGCACTCTCTGCAGTGTCATACAGAATGAAAATAATTCAGAAGCAATATTAGACCATTTTCACTTCACAACTTGTATCCCAGCCAACACAAATGTTATTAGAACAGTTTTTTTGTCTCTCACTATTCATCTTTTGTGCTCCACAACAAATCAAATAATACCTTATAAGCATCTTTATAAACGTATACGACTGCTTTAGTGAAATGTTTTTTTGTTGTTGTTGTTGTTTTCTTTGGGTTGTCAGGCATCTTGCTGAGGTAATGAAGTATGATCCGCCCTAATAAAACACTGAACATGCCTCAGTTGTTCCCTAATATCTCTCCAGCTCCAGGAAAGGATCTGTAGAATAATAGAAAGAGTGCGATGAGATCATCCGCGTCTCTGTCTCTGGAAACAAAGGTTGAGCTCTGTGTGTAGACGGGTCACAGTCTAATTATTTATTCCCCATGAGACTGTGGGACAGGAAATGTAGATCTCTGTGCTGATGAGCGGTCTCGGTCACATCACTCATTCGGGTTTATTAGGATGATAAATGGATCGATCATGAAGCTGTGCGTGATGTGTGACATCAACACCACACCCTTTAACAAGAAATGTACGTGAGACTATTTTCTCTTGGGGTTCGTATCTTAAACGGATGACCTGTAGGAATGCTTTTTCTCTCCATGTGCACCGTACACTTTAGCTCCATCTTACACGGACTCAATAAGGAAAACAATGTTTACCTGCGAGTGTAGCACAAATCATGTTGCAATGCTTTTGTTAACCTTTAATACAACCCCAAATCAGAAAACGTTGGGACAGTATGGAAATAATAGAAAGTAGTGATTTCTAAAGTTACTTTGACTTGTATTTTCTTGTATTTATTTATTTATTTATTGTGTTCCTCATTATTGTGTTTTTGCAACACTTTTAAAAAATTGTTGGGACAGTAAAGCATTTACAACTTTGTAATGTGGCCATTCTTTATCCCATTACAAAAGACGTTTAGGGATTGAAGACATCAAGTGATGAAGTGTTTCCTGTCTTAAGGTGGGCAACAGTACGGTGTCTTCGTTGTTGGATTTTGCGCTTCAAAATGTGCTTCACATTCTTTATTGGAGACAGGTCAGGACTGTAGACAGGCCAGTCAAGTACCTGTATCCTATTCCTTTGCAGCCAAGACTTTTTAATCTGTGCAGAATGTGGTTTTGCATTGTCTTGCTGAAATATGAATGTGCATCTGTGGAAAAGAAGGCAACATGTTGTACTCCATCATCTCTGTACTTTTCAGGATTCATGGTGCCATCACAGAAGTGCAAGTTACCTTTGCCAAGAGCATTGTCGCAACCTGTCGCAACCATTGTCATGACAAACTTTGGATTTTGGACTTGCTGGTAACAGTCCGGATTATCCTTTTTTTCTTTGGTCCAGAGCACACGGTGTCCATTTTTTACAAAAAAAAAAAAATAAATAAAAAAATAAAAATTCACTGATTTATCTGACCACAGTACATGTTTCCACTGTGTGATGGTCCATCCTAGATGCCTCCAAGCCCAGAGAAGTCAATTGTGTATATTGATTTGACTACATTTCATGTCAGTGTTATATTTAGCCACCAGAGGGCGTCAAATATATGAATTATCCATCCTCTGAACCAATAATATAGTCATAATAATAATAATAATATATGTAACTAGTTACTTAGATTACTTTTCAGCAGAAAAATAAATAATAATAATTATAATATAATAAAATAAAGTTAAGGGACTACTTTTAATTTGGGCTAAATTTAATTAGCTACTTTAACGTTTAATGAAATGAATGAATGGAATTTTAATTTTAAGTAGTTTATATATTACAAACTAATAACTATTATAACTATTCTATTACTAGTTACCATGTCATGCCCCATTAAAATTATTATAGATGTGCACTTATAGTCATTTTATCCAATACAATACAATTTTTGCCTTTTTTTAAGTACAACCTATAGCCTAAACAAGCACATAAACACTGTTGTTTTTGTTATCCTGCTTTATTTGAACATTAAAATTTATCCTGTGCAGCTGCACTTCTCTCAGTTCTGCACTAGATGGCAAACAAGTCAGCTTTGTGGGCTGGCATTGAGATTGAGGGTTTCTCGGGGTCTTGCAAAAACAAACGTAGGGTTTCTTTCAGATCCCCCCTAGTGGCTCGAGTGTAAGCGAGGGTTTGGATTTTGCGCGAGGCCGTCAGTATCTGCATCTCTCGCATCAGCGCCACACACACACTCACACCACACACACATACACACATACACACACATCCAGCATCTCCATCTCGACGCTCCACCTGCCCTCATCAACAAGCTGAATTCAAACTGTGTTTGAGCCCGTACAAAGCGTTCAAGTTGACCGCTTTCGGTGAGTACGCGTCTATAAACATCTTTTCATCTGGCGCGGGTTGTGTTTGGGTGGGAGATGAATTGTTATGACTGGTAAAGGGGCGCGGATGCTTTATATGCCGTGCGGCTGATGTTTCGACACCTGGGTGTTTCACAATAGTTAAAGAGTGCTTTTTGTGTTCTCTTTAATCTCAAAAGATCAATACTGTTCAGCTGTACTTGTATTTACAAGGGTAACGTTTGTGTATTAATCGCACAGACGTCTGACAGACGTGCGTGAGGTGTTTACCAAACGCGTTTATATATATAAGGTGTAGCTCCGCATGTTTTATTGATGTGCCTGAGGTGTAAATATTTCTTTTTTTATTTTTATTTTTAACTGAAGCCTGTCTATATATGATTTAAAATGGCTGTTTATTAAATCCTCTACATTTACAGGCTGGTGAGAAAGGAAATAATACTTTAAAGATGGTGAAACTGGGGAGTAATCTACAAGACAAAGGAGCAAAAGCTGTTAGCGTTGAGGACGGCTTTCAGAACGTCCCTCTCATCACGCCCTTGGATGTTACTAATCTTCAGTATCAAGCCCCAGACAAGGTAAGGAACATTTCAGGTCTTATGTAATAGGATCTTACCTCTTTGTTAGGTCATAAAAACATATTCATTATGTATAAAAAAAGTAATTGACAATAGTAGTGCCTAGAAAGAATATTACTTGTATACCAGTTAGGCGTGGGCCAGTATAAGATTCTGACGATATGGTAACCTTGGATAAAAATATCACAGTATTGTGATTTTTGCTCTAAAATATATTCTTTTTAAATGTCTAGGTAAAAAACAAAAACTTTTCCCCCTTTGAAAACAGTATATTTAATTTTTTTGAATGATATAAAATATTTTAGAGCGGTAATGTCAGGCTAGTTAATTCAAATGAATCATTGAGTTCTGCTGTCTTCATTAGTTTCAGAAACACAGATTTCTTTACAATTTAAAATGGCATCTTTGGATATTTTTTCTGCCTAAGATTTACCTTAAAAAAGTAAATGAAAAAAAAAAATCTTACACATACCTTAGGAACGGTATTACAGAAAATTTTTGCAGTTTTAAAACCTTGACTTTTCCAAACCATGGTTTGAAAGCGGTTATTGTTCCATGCCTAATACCAGTAAGTGATGAAATTAACATTCTCCAAGTAAAAATCTCTGGTTATGAGTATATTGGGGGTTGGACTGTAATTTTTAAATGAAAAAAAAAGCCTGATAATGCATTATGGGTTGTTATTGTCAATTCTGAAACACTGTGTTGTAATTATAAATATGTAAAAATCCGATGAAGTGCAGCACTGGTATTTGTATGCGAGCAGCTCATGATAACTGTTTTCAGCATGCAAAATTATCTAAACATTCTATAAATTGTCAGCAAAATAGAAGCGTTTCAAACTAAACAAGAAAGAAAGAAATTCTATTAAAGTTTGAAATATTAAAGAAATATTAATTTAGCAAATTGTTTTTTAAATTATTATTTTTAGTACTACTAAGTAATCATATTTGTTAGTAATAATAAGTAGCATTATTAAATAAAACAGGGTGTTACGGTGGCACAGTGGCAAGCCCGATTGCCTCACAGCAAGAAGGTCACTGGTTCAAGCCTCGGCTGGGTCAGTTGGCCTTTCTATGTGGAGTTTGCATGTTCTCCCCATGTTCGCATGGGGTTCCTCCGTTTGCTCTGGTTTCACCCACAAGTCCAAAGGCATGCACTATACATGTAGGTGAGTTTGGTAAGCTACATTGTCCGTAGTGTATGTGTGTGTATGGATGTTTCCCAGTAATGGGTTGCAGCTGGAAGGGCTGGAGTCCCCAGATTGGATTGGATACATTGTGATTGGATTAAACCCCAGATTAAAAAAGAGACTAAGCCGAAAAGAAAATGAATGAATGACTGAAAAATTAAAACATCTATGATAAACACTACTGTTCATTCAATACTGACATGTTTATACTATAAATAAACACCAAAATCTGAAAAATAATTAAAATAAAATGCAGTTTTGTCAGTTATATGCTATAATATATATATATATATATATATATATATATATATATATATATATATATATATATATATATATATATATATATTATACATAATATATACACACATTATATATATATATATATATATATATATATGTATATATACACATAATATATACAAGTATAAGTACAAGTATACTATATATATAAGTATATATATATATATATATATATATATATATATATATATATATATATATATATATACAGACAATCATTTACAATTTCTTTCCTCTATGAGTGGTTGTTATTCAAGTATTAGTATTATAAGCTTTCACCCTTTTGCTAAAACATGCTGGTACAATGCTCTGCTTTTACGGTTGGATTGCCAGCCAATGTTCGTAAGGACGCAAGCTGTGACACTTCATGTGGGTGGTACTTCGACCCTCATTTGGGATTCAGCTGGGGAAGGCGCAATCATTCTTTGCACCTGCTAACTGAAGTGGCCTGTCACTCTGCCCAAACCTGTCATAAGTCTGTCACAAAAAAGCAGACTGTCATATTTTAAAGAGAGCACAACCCTCCATGCGAGTCCAGTCACCCTCTCTCCCCAGTCCCCTGGGAGTCTTGACGGATTATTGGCCTGCATGACAAAGAGAAAAAGCCATTTTATCTTTTAACTCAGGGTGACATATGGAGGCTGCATCCTCTGTTTAATGCCTGCTCGGAGGTGAAGAGGATGTGTTGGATTATTAACATGTCTATAGCTGGGGTTCCATCACCCTGTTAATGCGCATTGTAATGTATCGCTTGAGAAACGAGTGCAGGAAATGGCAAATTTTGAATATAAATGCTTTAATAGTTGGCAGCTAGCTCTCTGCAACTCTCACATGCTCGCCCACTAAAGCTAAGCAGGGCTGCGCATGGTCAGTACCTGGATGGGAGGCCACATGGGAAAACTAGGTTGCTGCCGGAAGTGGTGTTAGTGAAACCAGCAGGGGGCGCTCAATCTGTGATCTGTGTGGGTCCTAACGCCCCAGTATATTGATGGGCACTCTATACTGCTTAGTGAGCACCGTCTTTCTGATAAGACATTAAACTGAAGTCTTGACTCTATGTGGTCATTAAAAATTCCAGAATGTCCTTCGAAAAAGAGTAGGGGTGTAACTCCGGCATCCTGGCCGAATTTGGCCTCTGTCTATCATGGCCTCCTAACCATCCCCATATCATAATTGGCTTTATTACTCTGTCTCCTCTCCACCAATCAGCTTGTGTCTGGTGTGTGGTCTGGTGCAATACGGCTGCCATCGCATCATCCAAGTGGATGCTGCACACTGGTGGTGGAAGAGGAGATTCCCCCCAAAAAATGTGTTCTTTGAGTGTCCAGAAAAGCGCTGTATAAATTTAAAGAATTATTATTATTATTAATTGGCGAAAAGGTTTTACACTCACTTGTGGAGGTTTTGATTTGTGTGAAAAAGTTTGATGCAAACAATGGAAGATGGAAACTCATTTGTCAAATATACAGACATTGCACACGTATGATTAATCAGCTGTCCTTAATAATTTTGCCTTGTTTACTATTGGTTGCTAAGTTACCAATACTACACAGGGCTCGAAATTGCGACCAAACCCCACCTAAAGTTGAGGCGCAGATGAGAGCGATCATGACATGTGGTGAATATTGATCCGCCAGCTGAGATCAATCGAGTACGTGCTTCGCCCGAATCTCGATGCGTCGCATTTACTGCGTGTTCAGCGCAAATGTCCGCTAAAAGTCAAATCTAATACTGTACATATCATCGCCAAAGAAGCTCGCCTTTACTAAGTTTACACTGAAACTGCGGCTCATAACAAACAGCGGTTTTGCGCCGGTGGTCATCGCAAGAATCCTGCTCAACCTGCTCATAAATTGGGTCGGCTGACTAGCCTGCTTTTCCACCAACACAGATAAATGAAAATCAGCTCAGACTGAACATTTAAATTGACACAAACTGAAACCAAAACTTTTAAAGAGTGATAGAAGTGAGACTTTACTTTCTTTTGTCTATTCTTTCTTGAGTTTTCATTCCAAAATGGCCGCCGCACCATCTAGTGGCTGTTTCCAAAATTGCACGAGTGTCGCCTCTTGGTGATTCTGTGCTCTTTGGCACAATGGAGATTGTTTTAATTATATAGTTTTGCATTATTTTTAGTCATTTGGGATGCAGTGACGCACAGTCAAATATTTTGCAGAACAGATCCACCACTTTTCACATAAATTATCAAGTCCTCGTTTGGGAACACTGTGAGGGTACATTTATGAGCGAGGGGTTTGCGTCTTTAATAAACTATGACAGGTCATGTTCATTGAACAGTGAGTATAATTAATGAATCCATATGAAGCAGTCCCTTAAAGGGCCATGACATCCCCCATTTTCGGTTCAGGTCTACCTCAGAATTTTTTTCAAAAGATGCATCATAATGGGCGTAGAGCTCCGCAATCAGAGGCAGGAGTGGGCGTGGCCAGCAGAGCAGGGGAGAAGGAGGGGAGCGAACAACTGTTGTCAGTCAGCTCACAAAATGAGACACAAACCGTGAGGAGACGCATGATTTTGTTGTTTACAAAGTTAAAATGCAAATAAATAAACAGTAATTTAAGGCTCTGCTACATTTGTTATTCGTAATTTCATATACACACAATCACAATTTATATCATTATAAAGATAATCGTGTTCATATAAACACTACAAATGAGGACTTCTCCCTCAATCCCCGGGTCTGAATGCAGACTCAGTGCAGCAGGTCTCTTGCCTATTTCAACATTTGTAATCTGGAGGATTTAGGTGAACACAGCAGCATGGCGATGTGTCTATATGTCAACAAATTCCACTGATAAAGGACAAAGTCTGCCATTCTCTGCTATACTCGTACTGCTCTCGTGACGAAAATGCTTGCTGCACACAAACAGCTTTGCTGTATTGACCCTGACAGTATCGTGGAAAAAAAAAATGCACCCCGTGGGTCATGGAAACAAACACATGCGACCTTTCCTGAATGGCTAAATACTGTGTGCCGTGGGTCCGTGGACGTGGTCTCTCCCATTCATCAACATAGGGTCTCAGAGCTTGGCACTGGCAGGTCTGCCTTGGCTTTGGAAAGCATGCTCAGTCATGAATAATTAAGCAGCCGACTCTTATCATAGGATAAGAAAACCCAGCTATGAATAATAATGAGAAACCGACGCATCATCTTTGCACTTGCAGTTTTGCGCTACGTCACCGATTTTGATCCCGCCCCAAAAATAATTTTAAACTCGGAAGATGAAATTAGCTGACAAAAGCTCAAAATTATCCAGTTTTTCCCACAATTAAAGCTGACAGGTGCTAACATTGTCTTAACTGATGCTCAACACACACAAATCTGTTAAAATCTCAAAAAAAAAAGTACTAGAGGGTTTCTTGCAACAGTATCTGGATGCAGCCTTGATGATGCAAGCTGAGACTGCATCACTCAGCGATGCAATGTCAGACACAATGCACTCAAATGGAGCTAGTGACGCCACTGTGACGGGTAGGGTTAGGT